CAACATCCACACAATGCAATACTATTCAACGAGGAAGAAACCCGCAGCTCTCACCGCGCTACACTGGGGTGAGCTCAGCGAACAAAGCCATCACCGAAACCCTTTAAAACATGAAGTGCAGCATTAACTTATTGTAGGCAAATCTAGGCAGAAAGTAACTGCGTACTCACCTGAAGGCCGGCGCAGGAAACGGAGTAAAACCGGACGGGAAGTAGCATTGCCCACGGCGCTCTTTAGGGGGTCATGGAGACGTTCTAAAGTCCATTGTGGTGGTGATGGCAGAATTCTCTGAATGGACGAACGCTGTTGAATGTGACTGATCTACGTCATGAGTTGTATCTCAATAAAATACATTTTGAGTGTGTGTGTGTGCAGTACTAGAGCCAGGCCCACAGCCTCATGCTCTCCCTTTGGCTGTCTTGCTCAGAACTGGCTCTCTACCACCTGACCGTGCTTCTGAGCTAGTGTCTTACTGGTTACACGCAGACGGAGTCCCGTAGAGTTTCTACCCAGCTGCCTCGAATTGCAATCCTACAGACTTCAGCCTCCGACGTAGCTAGGATTACAGGCGTAAGCAACTGGCACCCAGCTTAAAACTGTTGTTTTGTTTTTCTCTTTTATTTAAAAACGAGTCCACAGAACGTTTCCCCCTCTCACAGCTGCCATAGTTTACTGCTTCTGTGTCGCTCACCTACGTCTCCCCTGAGATCACAGGGTGGGGTACAGGTGCTTGCTCATTCTCTCTCCTAATCCAGAGGTGACAGAAGCAGCTCAGAAAACACGTCACACGGGGACTACGTGGGATTAATACAGGATTATGCTCATCACACAGGAAGTACAAATGAGCCCCTCCAAACAGAAATCCCAGGCCAGGCCTGCGTCACACGAGGCTGCAAGGTCTCAAGTGTCTTAGAGAGAGAACTCCTCCCCCACCCCCCTTTGCTCGTCAGCATGTGTCAGGTGCTGTAAGTTTTCTCAGCTGAGCACAATGGCTCACACCTGCATTACCACTCAGGAGGAAAAAGATGGATGTTCAAGACCAGCCCAGGCCAAAGCTGCGCGACCTATCTGAAAAAATAGCTACAGCTAAAGCAAAGGTGCTCAGCTGGTCAGGAGCCTGCCCAGCAGCAGCACAGACCCTGATTGCAAACTCTACCTTTGGGTTTGTTTGTTTGTTTTCTTTAAAAAGGCAAGTTTTGCCGGGCGTCGGTGGCTCTCACACGTCACCCCAGCTACTCAGGAGGCTGAGATCTGAGGATCGCAGTTTGAAGCCAGCCCAGGCAGGAAAGTCTGTGAGACTCTCGTCTCTACTAAATGACTCCGAAGAGGCTGGAAGTGGTGCTGTGGCTCAAACGGTAGAGCCCTGGCCTCTAGCAAGCAGCAGCTCGGGGTCAGCGCCCGGGACCTGAGTTCAAGCCCCAGGACTAGCGCAACAGAAAGGAAAACAACGTGAACTTTTTGTTGAATCCGTAATAAAGAGAAATGGAAGAAGACCCTCTGGAGATGACAGATGGAGGCCGACTATTCCACAGGAGTCCCCCGAATGTTCCCTTGCGGGCATGGTTTGGGGGTGACTCCCGGCGCCCTACCATGTGGCCTGGTGAGTGAGGCCACCGGCCTGCCATACTCCTCGGGTCAGCGGGTACTTCCAAACCCCAAATCAGCTCGGCATCTCCAGGGCTGCCTCAGAGCTTGGCCGGATAGCGGTGAGCCCTGCTCCTGGCCCCCCTCACTGCAAGTAGAACCGCTTTCCTCCTCCTCACACTCGCCCAGGACCCCGCTGCTTTCCACAACAACGAATCCCTCTGCTTGCCTCTGACCACCTGACCCCTCCCAGTCCTGAGGACCCGACTCTCCCCCAGCGTATCCTGTCCAGGCGGGGAGGTGCATGCCGGCATCTCTGCTTCCCAGGTGGAGATTTGGGAGGATTCTGGTCCATACCAGCCTATGCAAAACACCAGCAAGACCCCATCTCAACTCACAAGCTGGGCGTGGTGTGACAGCCATGCCTATGAGCCAGCTACGCAAGAAGCATAGGTTGGGGGTTGAGATGTGAGGCTAGTCCCAGGCAACACTATAAAAACCCATCCAAAACATAATAACTAAAGCAAGCAATTAACTTGAGCACTACCGTGGCTGCATAGCCAGGGAGGGAGCCCTGACTGCTACAACCAGGACTGACTGCCAAAACACAAACAAGGAAAGCATCTCATTGTCTACCGGCACGGCAGTGTGGACTAGAAGGTTCCTCAGTGGGCAGAGAAAAATGAGCCGCTTTGTTGGTAACATTCCCCTCTGGGGTCCTAGACAGGCTTCTACTTCACGTAGAACGGAGCTGCTGACCTTTCACCTGGAGCAGCCTCCGGAGAGCAGTTACGATTCGTTTAATAAACACGTCCTTCTGGGATAAACACCTGACATTTCTTCAAGGGCTTTTTTATTTGTTTTTTGTCAGTCATGGGGCTTGAACTCTGGGCCTGGGCGCTGTCCCTCAGCTCTTCAGTTCAAGGCGAGCGCTCTACCACTTGAGCCACAGCGCCACTTCCAGTTTCCTGGTGGTTTATTGGAGATAAGAGTCTCATGGACTTTCCTGCCTGGGCTGGCTTTGAACCATGATCCTCAGATCTCAGCCTCCTGAGTAGCTAGGATTACAGGCGTGAGCCACCAGCCCCCAGCTGCAAGGGCTCTTGATGTGGAGGTTTTAAGAAAACTCGTCGCCATCCTAGTAATGAACTCTAGTAACAAGGAATGGTAGCTCACAGGCCTGTCTCAGAACAGGCTTTATGAAACAGGTGCGGGTGGTGCGGCCTAATGCACAGCCAAGGACATTAGTAAACAACAGTAAAGTCGTGTATGTGGAAGTATTGTTACAATTTACACATTGTAAATATAGAACACTTCTGGAAGGCAACTTAGCCAAACATATTACAATTTTTTAATGTGATTAGGAGACCCCTCTGGGAATCAATCCTATTCAAGCTTGTTAGAAATAAAGATGCCCCAAATCTCTACCTTCTGTTTGAGGATCACTGTAGTCTTAAAAGTGTGCAAACACTTTGACTCAGCAACTCCTGCCTTGAGTATTTATCCAGAGAAAAATAAACATTTTTAGAATAGCAAGAACTTGAAGCAAAGGTTTACTAGGACAAAATCGTCCCAGTGCTCGGCCCGTTTGCCTGCACGCACGCCCTCTCTCAGGAAGCGTTGTACGCGGCATACTAATGCACGCACACACGGCCGTGTGCTTAGCCTGACAGGCAATGGCTCTAGTGTCTCCACGAGGTCGTCTCTGCCCACCTGTCTGTCCACTCCGCTTCACCGTGGGCTAAGATGCGTATCTAGGTGTTTCTTCTTCCCCATTTGATGTACAATTACTACTGACCAGGCTTAATGATACCAGAACTAATTACAGAAGAGCTGCTGAACACATGATTAGAAAATTGTTCCTGAGCTGTTCCCAAAGTCTGTGACTCAGCTGTGAAGGAAGTCACTGAACGTATTGTTCTCTGCGCCTGTGGAATGTGCTCAGTGCTTCTGTCTCACGGCCACTGGAGGTCATCTTTATTGTCAGTTGATTGATTCAACCACTGATTGTTCGTTCCTCGGACGGAGAAAGCCTTTCTTGCGCTCAAGTTCAGTTTGGGAAATAGTAGGGGCAGCAATGCTCCCCAGACGCGCTGCGCATCATAGCCTGCCCCCCAGACGCGCTGCGCATCATAGCCTGCCCCCAGACGCGCTGCGCATCATAGCCTGCCCCTCCTTACCTTTTGTTTTTCACACTTCCCTCATCAACTACTTCTCACTTCATCTCACTGAATCACTGTCCGTCCCCTCCATTAGCAAACCAAGTCAAGGAGTCTGGCTTGTTTGTTTATATCCACAGAACCTGGGCAGTGGCTGGCACCCAGGAAGAGTTCAGTGTTGATCTAAGGAGTGTGTGTGAAATATCTCAGCGTCCTTACAACCATGGGCTTTATTGGCTTGTGGTACAGAGTCCTTTGCTTGTATCAGTTTGATGACATTCAAGCTATACAAGGGCTTTGTAGCCTCCTGACTTAGTGCCTGCCACCAGACAGGAGAACTGTGACCATCGACTCAATAGGATTCAGGCAACTGTTAAAAGCATTAGTATGGGGGGGAGGGCGTGGGGGGCTCTCGCCTGTAATCCTACCTTCTCAGGAGGCTGAGATCTTAGGGTTGTAGTTTGAAGCCAGCCTGAGCAGGAAAGACTATGAGACTTACCTCCAACTAACCACCAAAAAGCTGGATGTGGAGCTGTGGCTCAAGGGGTAGGCTTGAGCAAAGAAGCTCAGGGATAGTACCCAGGCCGTTTATAAGCCCCAGGACCGGCACACACACAAAAACATGTTAACATAGCCAGGCATGATGGTGAGTGCTAGCCATCACAGAAATTTGGAGAACATAAGTAGTCACGAAAGGCTCGGGGCATGGCCCAGGGATCAGGCACCGGCCTCGCGTGCAACACACGAGACCCTGAGTTCTGCTCCCTAGGGCGGAAAAAGAAATTCTTCCTTAGATCAAAAGTTACTGGCACAATGGAGGATAAAAACTCAAGTCAAAAATGAGACACTATTGTTTCTGTGAATGTGTGTGTTATGATTAAGTTGTCGTAAGAACATACTGGAATGTTAATCCTAGCTACGATTTCTCCCTGGTGGTCAGATTAGGGAGGATGTTCGTTTCTTTTTATCCACCCATTTTGATCAATTTGCTAATGCAGTTATTGCTTCCATTCTTGAAAAAAAAATAAGTGTTCACCCATCTGTGTGCCCCGAGTGTGGTGTATCGCTGTCAACATAAACACATTCCACACTTACGCTTCGTCTCAGGACAGGAGACTCTTGCTTGAGTTCAGGCCTTCTAGCAAAGTCCTTGGAGGTCTACTGGCAGAGCACGGAGGAGGAGGGGAAGCTCCTCCCATTTCTCACAGCCACTTCCATCCTTTAAAAACTCCGGCCTCCCCATACAACTGACAGAGAAAACAATTCCACCCAAGGGACGGCACCAAAGAGGAAAAGCAAAGGTAAGGCGATCGCCGGGGGAAAGGGCTCAGCAGGAAAACCTCAGGTCTCTCCAGAACCTGGCCAGCCTTGGCTCTGGTCCCTGGCACTGGTTCATTGAATGGGTCGGCTCTGTCAGATGAGCTGCTTTTTAATGTAAAACCAAGACACTGAACACAAGATGCTCAGTGGGGCGCAGAAGGCCACTGAGCTTGCCTCAAGGGGTAAAAGACAGTGGGCTCTGGCTAGAGAAACTGGCGCTGCTGACTGAATCATCACTGGGACGGCTTGGAAAGCCTGATGGACCAAAGCACTGTCTGAGCTGGGCCTGGGTGAAGCAGCAATGACCGGGGCTGATTCCTCCACAGGAAGCAATGGCCAGGAAGGTGGCGGTGATTGGAGCCGGAGTCAGCGGCCTCATCTCCCTAAAGTGCTGCGTGGAGGAGGGGCTGGAACCCACCTGCTTTGAGAGGACGGAAGACATCGGAGGCCTGTGGAGGTTCAAAGTAAGCCAGACTTCTTTCTCTCTCCCTCCTCTGGGGACGGGTGCTGCTGTTTGCCAGGGGCGCGCAGCTAGCAGGTGAGGGACCTTGCTGACAGCGTTCACCAGCCTCCCTCACTCGGTTGTAGCTCGGTTTATTTACGCAGGAATAGAGGCCGTGAGCTGGCACCTCTCCCTCCCCGGCGACACTGTGCTAACCCGGTCGGCCAGTCCAGGCATGTAAAGAATCTCTTCTTTTGTACCCAGCAATGGCCTTTCAGCAATCCCTGAGCCACTGCTCAGAGGATATACTCATATCACAGACCAATTTTCCACATAGAACTAACAGGGATTCGTTTCAAGATACCATTGCTCTTTCAGCCGGTGGGCCGCATGCTCTCGTTAGGAAATACCTCCTCGCTTCTGACAATAAACCGTGCTCGAGTCCGGAGCTTTATCGGCTTTACTCTAGCACAACTGTTTTGAAACTCTTCATTCAATGTTTTCTGATAATTTAAGGCGCTCCATTCATAATGCCAGCTGTCCTCCAGCGTTTGTGTTAGAATCAGAACGATCCGTAGACAGTGGTAAAGATGCATAATCGATTCAGCCAGCAACTGTTTCAGATGCTCACCACTGTGATCCTAGCTACTCATGAGGCTGAGATTAGGAGGCTTGCAGTCAGAGGCCAGCCCAAGTAAAGAGTTTGCAAGGCCCCCATCTCGGCCAACAGAAAGCTGATTGCTTACAAACTGACATGTGGAACAAAAACCCCTTTGTACAACTACTTAAATAAGTAGCCATCAATAACTACTTCAACATAAATAACAGTAAAAGATTAATCGGGGGGGGAAAAGATTATAATTACAATAAAAAAATGCCTGTCAGTCATCTCAGCAATGCAGGAAGTAGAAATAGAAGGATGGAGGACCAGAACATCCAGTTGCAGAAGTAAGATGCTATCACACACATAACAACAGCTAAAAGATCCGCAGGCACGGCTCAAGTGGTAGAGCGCCTCCCTCGCAAACACAAGGCTGTGAGCTCAAACTAAGTTGCCAAGGGTTTATAATGATTCCTCCCCACCGTCCTGTGGATTGGGACTGGCTTGCTACCTCCTTCCTGTGAGACACTGGGCAAGTTAGTTGCATCCCTGTATCTTTGTTACTCAATTTCCTTAACAGCAAATTAATTATTTCCTAGTGTTGTTTTGAAGATTAAGTGACATAATTCATGTAAAGAGCTTAAAGTAGTTCCTGACTCCTAATAGAGTTCTCTAGGGGTTAATTGTGCATAACCTCTTTATCTTATACACATACGCAAATAGAAAATAAGGGAGGAATCAGTGAATTATTCATGGCCAGATAGCTGGATGAATGTGCATTCGTGCCCAGACCCATATGACTCCAAGGAACTAAGTCTCTACTTAGAACCATGACCCAGCCTTCATTCCTGCTTGGAGAGGTTAAAGTTTTAAGTCCAGCACTCAAGAGAAGTAAGTTCATAATTGTGCTTAAGGTAAGTCTGAGTATCTTCCAAATAGGAGGGAATGTATCTGGCTCTGTGAAGAGCAGATTCCCACGCTCGCAGAGCACATCCAAGGTTCTTCCCGAAGACAGACCAGCCATGAGGAAGGCAAAGTCACCCAGCTCTTCAAGCTGAAGGTCAAGCCCAGAAAGATTTCCTTCGTGTTAGCTTTCTCCAATGTATATGACCATCATCTTTTTTTTTGAGCTGGTCATGGGGCTTGAACTCAGGGCCTGGGTGCTGTCCCAGAGCTTTGTAGTTCAAGGTTAATGCTCTACCATTTGAGCCACAAGTCCACTTTTGGCTTCATGCGTGTGTGTCTAATTGGAGATAAGAGTCTCACAGACTTTCCTGCCCAGGCTGGCTTCAAACTGCAATGCTCAGATCTCAGCCTCCCGAGTAGCCAGGATTACAGGTGTGAGCCACCGGCACCCGGCTTTCCTACAGCATTTTTAAAGATCGATTACCAGGCCTGCAGAATAAAAAAATCTCCTGGAGACTTCTAGTATATATTTCAGATAAATCCTATGTTGAGACAAGTTTGGCAAAGATGGTGAAAATACCAAGTGAGAGATTCATCCAACTAAACAGAGTTTATGAGAATTTATGGAGGATTATCTGAGCTAGGTAGCTTTGCAAAGAACAAAACTGGAAGGAAAAAACCAGCTTGAGTCGTTTTGTTTCTTACTAACAATCAGTGGTTAGGTTCCTGAGAGGGTGAGGAAAACAGTGGTGATTCCTTTGGAAGCCAAGGACATCTGTCCGTTCCGGGTCATTACAGATGGCAGCTGCGGTGTGCTTTGGTCCCGAGCAAAGAATGAAGACACTGGAACCAATCCCATTCAGTAATAACTCACTGCCGTGTCTCCTCACCCATGAGGGGACTCAGTATCTAAAAGCCAAGGTCCCTTCTTTTATTATCTCTTATCTATTGGCAGAAGTAAGCGTTACTTAGAGCAATCTGGCAACAGTGAGACTTGATGAATTCCAGGAAATTACTTCGTGTCCCAAACATTTCATGAGCCAATTCCCAGTATCAGGAATTTCGGTGTTAGGGATACGCTCTTATGGACTGAATAAGTTGAGTGAAAACCTGAATTCACGGAGCTTCGTTGGGTTTTCAGGGGTTAAATACACCTTGTCTAGAACCTGGGATCAACATCCCATCCCAAGCCTCTCTCAAGACAACGCCCATTAGAGAAACGTAAGCGGGTGTCTGCATTCAAAGACAGTGTCTGCAGAGTGAAACCTGTCTGAAGCAAACCCGCTGAGGCTGATGGCGGCTAGGAGAAGAGCCTGGCCAGGAGGAGGCGGGGGCTGACGCGAGGGTGGGGGCTGCTACCTTCACCTCAGGTGAACTTCGCCTCTTCGCAACTCTACTGTTCCAGAATCCGTTTGGAAATGAGTTAGTCGTTCATTTCTGTGTGTGTGCACAATTCTAAGACAACTTAATAGACCTAATATATATAATTTGTAAAGACACTGTACAGAGGGGTTACAGTTACATGAGCAAGGTCCATTTCCTTTCGAGCATTGTTACCTCCTCCACTACCCCAAGTTGTAAAGTTCATTTTCAACATAGTGTCTTAACTCTGACAAGTTAAAAACTAAACTAAACAGAACTTTGAAATCTGTGAACCAAGGCCAGCTGTGATGATACTGAATGCCACCCTCAGAGGCCCTCCAGCACCCCCTGGTGTTTTGGGGGGACATGGCAGGGGTGAGCGGCTAGCTCTGCAGCCTTACATTCAACAATTCGTAACGGTTTGTGGATAGAAGCTGGGGGGGGGGGGATAACGAACTCGCCCCAGGGAACATAGATGAGAGACAAAGAACTAAACTGGATGTCTGCAGGATTCTTCACGTGACTGAGGTATTAAGGAAGGAAAACAGAACCTTTTTTTCAGCCATTTACCTGCCCTTCTTCCTTTGTTATTCTTGATACTTTGTATCCACAGGGAAATTACCAGTATACCTTGCTTTTCTAGCTTGGGAGGGTGTAATGGGTCAGTAATCTTAATTATTCTCGTCTAATCATGTCTAGATTTCTGCCTGCCACAGAGTCTTTCCCCCTGGAGCCGATCTGAAATATCATTTGTCTCCGTAAAATGTGACTCCAAGTACATTAAATTTATTCAAGGTTTTTTAAAGTAGGAAGAGTGTCCCTGGCACTGTGGTAGGCAACAGAGGGCAGTTCAAGGCGGTCACTGCCCTCCGAGAATCTATAAACAACGGGCCTGGCGATTTCCCACTGCGGCTTATACCTCTCTTGACTTAGATATTGCATTTCCACCACGGGAGACGTAGCGCTGTTTTGCAGCACTCGAGAAATAAACACGAGTGTCTGCAAAGTTAGAATCTGTAGAGTTGTTACGCACATTATCTTGTTTTATACTCACGCTAACTTCCTGTTTATTTATCTATTATCATGCCCCACGTACAGCCTCAAGTGGTGAATGATAAATTTTCAAATGAGCCACAGTGCTGAGCTGTCACATCTCAGCCTGGCTTGCCTTCACATGACGCCGACGACGCATATTTATCTGGGGGTCAGTTAAAACTCTGGGCTCTTTTCTGTGTGAACAATTAACGATCAAGTCACCGTTAGCCTATCCTTGTGAGACTAGTTTTCTCTTAGCTCTATTTAGATGAAGTCACGTTTGTGTGTAGTGAACGTTGTCTAGACCCACACTCTGGCCGCACAGCCCTGCAAGCCTGCGTACTGGGGAGGCTGAGATCAGGAGATTGCAGGTTAAGGCTGGCCTGGCCCAGCGGCGTGTGAGATGCCCTCTGGCCCAGTGGCGGGGCCCGTGCAACGCGAGGGGTCTTCCCGGGTGATGCCAAGGCTATGAGCGGATGTCATGGCTACAGGCCAACAGAGACGGAAAAGACTCGAAGACACCATCTTAATAGAAGAAACGGGGTGTGGCCTTGCGTGCCTGACAAGCCAGCTATGACAAGAAGCTAAAACAGGCAGGTTTGGCTCAGGCACACACCCAGGAAGGACAGGATATCCAAAGTAAACCATACACAGAGGGCTGGACGCAGAGCTGGGGGGGGGGGGGGGGACAGCAGCCCCCAGGCCCAAGGCCTCACGCTGGAACCCGCCACCAACAGGAGATAAACAAGCAGACAGACAGTCGGACTGAGTCGCTTTGAGCTTGGGTCAACAAGAGTTTATACGAAATTTCAATTTTGTCTCTGCTTTGAAGCACTCAGAAATATGGCCAACCGTGAAATTCCTGCAGCATTATTAAAATGTTGGTCGTAAGGCTGCTATCATGCTGGACTGGCGTCTGCAGTCCCCGTCCTCGGAAGGCAGAGGCGGGAGGACTGAGTTCAAGGCCAGTCTGGGGTATAATGAGACTTGGTCTCCAGAAAACAAACAAACAGAACAACAACAATGATCAAGCTAGGACGTGGCTCATGCCTGTAATTCCAGCTGCCTGGGAGATAGAGATCAGAGGACTGCAGTTCAAAGCCACTCCATACAAAAAG